AAATCGCACATTATTAAGAGTAGCACTAGTGGAGAGCCGCATAGTGCCATAACGTCAGTAGTGTTAGACCAATAGGTGTGAGTGTGGTATTTTTTTGCTTTAATGTTTTAAGATCTAAACCACTCTTCCTCCACTTCAAAATTTTGGCTGTTTAAGGTTATGATTCGTATCTAACAATTTTTAATTCATATAGATGTTACGGATTGACTAAAATATCTTCATTTAATTTTTTATTTAATTAATCTGGGGTGTTAAGAGAGGAAAGAAAAATAAAATTAATAGAAGTCTCTTGCTTATTGACACTGCTCCCTTCGCTCATCATCATCATCCTCCTCTTTTTATCAGGGCCCTTTTTGAGGAGAAAAGCCAGATTTTGAGAGTCAATTTTTGACCAAGTCTTTAATTGAGACTGGAAAAAAATGGTAACTAAAGTCTTCTTCTTGTTCCATTTTTTTTTTTTGTTTCCCGTTATCGTACTCTCTTTATAATATATTAATCTTGATAGCAACCGGAAAGGAAAAAAGTTACAATGACAGATGGAAAAGTCAATGTCTTCGGTAGTTACAGTCTTTTTTTTTCTTTTTCTGAAATGTTTCACGCCACGTATATTTTTGGAAAAATAACATAAAAATGACATTTTACTTTAAAAATTTTTATTTGGTTATCTAAATAATAAAAATTCTTATTTGATTACACATGACTAAATTAAAATTTTAAAATTTGCTAAAAAGACCAAACTACCTTTTAATTTTTTTAAAAAATTTATCAAACTCCTTTACTGGCCTGCCGGTTGGTTGCAGGAGCTTTGGTGCCAGTGACAACTATCGAGATTATGTGGGCCGCCAATCGCCTAAGCTCCGACAGCTAACTGACGACCGGTCACCAGAGTTTTAGTGACTGGCAAATATTTTTTTGATGTTGAGATTTTTATAATTCTAATAACGTGGTTAACAAATTCTTTATGCTATTAACAAGTTTAATATAGTAGTTAATAACAAATTTTTTAGAAAATTAAAAAAATAACATTTTTATAACTCTAATAATGTGGCTAACATGTTCTTTTACGCTATTAAAAATTTCAGTATAATAGTTAACAAGTTTTTTAGAAAATTCAAAAAGTTACATTTTTGCAACTTCAATAATACGGTTAATAAATCATGTAATGGTATTAACAACTCTCATAACTATAATGATTATCTAATAAATAAAAAATTTTGTGTTGCCAATCTTTATGGGGAGGTATTATTAAAAAAAAATCAACCTGCATAGGAAATTCTGTTAATGGCACTATAAGAGTTGCTAATATCGTTACATCATACATGACTTGTTAACCGCATTACTGAAGTTATAAAAATGCTACTTTTTGAATTTTCTAAAAAACTCGTTGTTAACTACTATACTGAACTTGCTAATAACGCTAAAGGATTTGTTAATCGCATTACTAAAGTTGTAAAAATACCAATTTTTGAATTTCTTGAAAAATCTGTTGTTAACTACTATACTGAACTTGTTCATAGCGTTAAAGAACTTATTAACCGCATTACTAAAGTTATAAAAAATGCTAATTTTTTAATTTTCTGAAAAGCCTGTTGTTAACTAGTATAGTTAACTTGTTAATAGAGTTAAAGAACTTGTTAACTACGTTACTAGAGTTGTAAAAATCTCAACAAAAAAAAGTTGCCGGTCACTGGAGCTCTGTTGACCAATCGTAGGCTGACGGTCGCACCTGAAACCCTATGATGCTCGCCAGTGCCGGAGCTCTAGTGACCAGCCGGTGGGTAAGGGTGCTTGATTATTATTTTTTTAAAAAAAATAAAGGGCAATTTGATCTTTTCAGTAAATTTCAAAATCTCAACTTAGTCATGTGTGATCAAATGGAAATTTTCATTATTCAGGTGACCAAATAGGGATTTTCAAATTGAAGTATTATTTTTGTGTCATTTTTCCTATACTTTTTTTTCCCCAATTAAAACCTGGAATCCATTAAGAATAAATGATACAAAGAGAACAGACTCCAGAAATTTAATGCATCATCTGTAATACTACCTCCAGTTTTTAATATAAAATCTTGTTTGATTTTTATTTTGGTCCTAAATATAAGACCCTAATCTATTTTGTTTATCATATTTATGCATTTTTTGCAATGTAGTCTTTCTAATAATGGTGGTTCTAACCAATACACTTGATTAGTAAGGATATTTTAGGAAAACAATACCTATTTATTATAAATAACTAACTTAACTTATTTTCTTAATCTTCTCAAAATTAGTCAACTAGCTTTTATAATTAGCACCGAAAATAGTATTTATAAACTCCCAAGTTTGTTCATTTAATTTTGTCTTCGAGGTTGTGGGGGTGAAAAGGTTTTTTGATGGAGTTGCCACAATTGAATATGAATGAATTAATTACGAGTATCTTCAAAATTTAGATATATTTGTTAAATTACGCCAAAATATACAGAAAAGCCACAATAACAAATATATTCGGACACACATTTTAAGTTTTATATAAAGTCTCAAGTGAGAGCGAGAATTAATTATTCACTAGCTAGTCACTAGATTAAAATGGTTGCCCATCATTTCCAAGTCTCCTTTGTTCCCCCCCCCCCCCCCCGGGAGTGCCCTAATTATTAATTATCATGGTCCCTCTTAATGCATCCAAAAATTAAGAAAGCTCTGGTGTGGTTTTATAGCCAGCTCAATATGAATTGGAGCTGCTGTGGTGGGCTGACCTGCTTTCAGTCTAAATTTGCATCTCTCGGCCCCAAAGCCTTTTTTATTTTGGGGCCCAAAGTCTTGCGCCCGCATTCCGTGCTCATCAGGCTGATGAGCACGGCGTGCTCAGCACTCAAAGCGACAACGTTTTGAGTGCTGAGCACCGTGGGACCTTAGGTCTCCCCCCCTTTTCACTTTTATTATTTAAAAAAATATATGCATAAAAATTATTTTTGGTTTAAGTTTTATTTAATACTCTAAAGTATTTTTTGCAGGTATATTTATTATTCTAAAATATTGTTTTATCTAGCATACTAAAATATTTTTTAGATGTGTCTCACATTTTAAAGTATTTTTTTCTGTAATTATCTAACACCCTAAATTATTTTTTCAAGCAAGTTCAACATCCTAGAAATAGTTTTTGATTCGTCTATCATCCTGAAATTTTTTTGTCAAATGTATCTAATATCCTAAAATATTTTGTGATTCATTCAATGCTTTAAAAATATTTTTTAGATGCATCCATATTTTTACTGAATACACATGAAAAATTATTTTAGAGTATTTGGTGAAACTTAATCCAAAAATAATTTTAATATATACTACTTCTGGTCCTTAATATAAGAATTAACTGACTAATTTAAATAGATTAAAAAAACTAGTTAAGTTAGTTATTTGTAATAAATAGATGTTATCTTTTTTAAAATGTCATTACTAATCAGATGTACTGGTTAAAACTACCATAATTACAATGACTGTTTTAAGAAAAATTAGATAAATATAAAAGATAAAATGGATTATAATCTTATATTTAGGATCAAGATAAAATTCAAACAAGCTTTCATATTAAAAACCATAATTTTTTTAAATGATGAACAAGGAGAAAAAAAAAGCAAAAATAAAAAACTAAGGTCCTGAACTGCTCAGCACTCAAAACGCTGGCGTTTTGAGTGATGAGCACGCCGTGCTCATCAGGCTGATGAGCACGGAATGCGGTCCCCAAAGTCTTTGATTTTGTTTTTCTTTTCTTTTTTGAAAAACTGGTCCAGTTTTTATTACCCGAATCGGCACGCGTTTTTGACTCGTTTCCTGAGGACACATCGGATCGGATCATGAGTTGGTTCTTGGTTCAATCGGTTGAACTAGTTGATCCGATTTGGTTTCTTAAACCTTGTTTTAATGGCAAACCCCATGAAATAGGAAGAAAAAAATATTTGGGACAGCAAAAGAGGACCAAAGACCCATTTCATACCCAACCTCGTTAGAAACTAAGTTCTGGTTGATAGAGCCTAAACTATACGAGAAGCCCATTCACAACAGTGTATCATGAAGGCCACAATATAGGATTTTAGAATTAGGCCCTTTAATCAGATCGAACATCACCGATGGAGGTTGGGTCCAGTAGGACAATATGGGCAACCAGAATGATTTTCTTTTTTGGGAAAAATATTAATATTTAGCACTTGACAAAGGATCAAACATGATTGTTTTTAATAGGAGAATACATGTATCTATAAAAAAAGATAATACTTTTTTTTTTGAAGAACAATATGATTTAGTACATTTATTTATTTTTTTTCACCCAAAGTTGTACGACATCAAGTTTATAAATTCTTTTGGTTATGCGTCATCTTTCATGCAAATATGTGACTCTAACTTTCTCCCGTTAGCCTTCTGAATTGTGTGCAGTGGAAACTCATTAAATTTCATGAACAGAAGAACATTTCAGCAACACCCAACAGAATGTAAAGGCAAACAGCAAAACGAACCAGAAACAGAGGAGCGGAGCCTTGTCTTACATGCTGTTTCGGGATTCACTCCAAGGATTCTTACTCAGAAAATGATATTCAAATACCAAAACAATTATTTGCAACAAATATTCTTTTACTTCACAACTTGGCAGTGGAAATTGATTTGAAACTCAATCTGTCACAGCCCCAACCTTGTTCCATTCATACTCGACAACTTCTTGCACGACATTCTCTTCCCACTCAACCTTCTTCACGTATTGGAGTGAAGGAAACTCAGATCTCAGAGTTTCTCGATTAATTGGCGGCATCTTAGTATACTTGAGTAGCAAATATTTCACGTTATCCCACTGCCCTTCCTCATCTAATAAATTCATGAGCCTTCCTCCCCTAATGTGTAGCGTCTCCAGATTCATCAGTTTGCTGGGCTTTAACCATTCCGGCTTCCTGTCGTGAGGAATGCCTTCAAGATCCAGCTTTTGTAGCCCTGGCAGAAAAGACACAGACTCTTCAACATTTGTTTTACCCCATGATATTTTCAGGCACTTTCCTTCAACTTCTCGAATTCCTCTCCCTGGATGGTAGCCTCACTCCCTATATGTATACTCAATCGCTTGAGATTCTTCAGGCTTCGAAGATGCCATATTCTGATGGGAGTCTTCTGTGAACTGCGTATTATGAATCCCTTGAGTATTTGCAGCGAAGTGAGCTTGTCGAGACCCGTTGGCAAGCTCTCCAACAGGTAACATTCTGATACATCCAAATGTGTGAGCTTTTTCAGTGATGCAATGGCAGCAGGCAAGGTTTCTAGATTGTGACAGGCCTTGAGGTTTAGGATTTCGAGGCTGGCCAGTTCTCTAATGGAGTCAGGAAGCGAAGTTATTCTGGAAATCCCACGCAGGCTGAGATACTTGAGCAGTTTCTGGGTCTTCAAACCTTTTAGGAAGGATTCATCTCGAACTGCAATGTGATGGGTAGGAGAAACCTGCCAGTGACCAAGTTGAAGCACCGCCAATGTCTTCAGTGTAGCAAGCCACTGGTGTCGAAAATGAAGATTTCTCCCGTTTACATTAAAAATTGTCCTCAAAGTCTCTGGTATGGATTTTGTTTCAATTTCCGAATTAAAACGATCATCGATCAAACGAGTACGCTAATAATGGGTGGAATCAAGATGTGGTATCTTGCCCTGATCTGGTATCCCGTGCTCTAATTTCAAAAGCTTCTCTTTCAGAGCAACCGAGATCAACATGTAACGAAACCAAAGGAAAATTCGACATTTACTCACTCTTGGGCACTTGTCATGGGGTATAAGTAATTCTAAATCCAAAAGCTCTTGGAATACTCTTTCACCTTCTTCCTCGTGCCGGACCAACCCTTCCCCCATCCACCAATAAATAAGCCTTTTCCTGAGAATAGCATTGTTCGGGAAAACTGCCAGGGACAAGCAAATTCCCCGGTCATGCTTAAGCTCATCAAGACGGAGGAAGGATTCATAACTCTCACAAAGACATTTCATGAGTGGATCCTGGTCTGCTTTGTCTATAATTACCCGTTTCGTTTCAGATAAAGCTTGGGCGCATAGCCTTGGGCGGCCTCATCATAAGCAGCAAGTTGGTGTAGCGTTTCATTTAACTGAGCGAGCTCGCCAAGGATAGAACAAAAACCAAAGGGTTCAATTTTGGCGCAGCGATCAGCCAACTCCGAGAATTGGTTGCCCAGTTTGAGTTCCCCCTGTTTGGAAAGTGGGAATTTACTCATCGTGTGGTCGATCACCATCTTGATGACTTTTTTGGCTGATGAAACATCTTCAAAGGTTATGTCGAACATCTTCTTAAACATCTTGAGTTGGTGCAGTACTTCTCGCATGTCAGTGGTTGGATTTGTTGGGATCGACATGTTCAGAGCGCAAGAGATGGAAACATTGTCTGGTACAAGTTTGGGAGGAGGCCAGGGCATGCATGAGCGTGAAGGCAAGCAATAACCAATGGTCCTCATTCGGCACGCTGTACTTGTCCGTATAATGCAATCTAGATTCTAGACTATTTTAGATTTAATACGAATGATTAAGATTTAAAATTTTTAACATGCAATTGTTTCGATGATGAATTTATTTTTTAAAAAAATGTTAGTGATTATTATTTTTATTTTGAATTTTGTATCTATTAAAATAAAACATTATTTAAAATATGTCAAAATTTTAAATTCAATCTGGACCATTTTAAATCAATATAATGACTCAGATTAAGACAAGCACTCTATGTGTATTATTACGATGAGTATGAAATATGCCCCAGTAACCAAAACTGCTAAAAAAAAATCAGTTTCAGTACTCATGGCAGCGGCAAAATCTAAATTATTCAAAATCAATTTTAATAGTCTAGATTTAAAATTTTCAACTAGTAAATTTTAATAAAAATTTATTTGCTAAAAACTTACAATTAAAAGGTTATATTTATTTTGGATTATGTACCTATTAAAAGAAAAAAAAATTTAGAAATAAAAATATTAAATATAAATCACAGCGGTTCATATTAAATTTAAATGTTGAGATTTAATAAGTATGATGCTATTTATCGTCGCGGCAAGCACTGAAAGTAGTGAGGCAGAATGTCCAGCATTGCCGCCTTATATATCCTCGTCTGAGGGGGTGTTTGGATAAAGCAAAACCATGGTTTGGAGAATAGCTTCTGGAGAATAGATTTTGGAGAGAATAGATCTTGAAAAAATAGATTTTCTGAAAAAGTGAGAGTGTTTAGATAATTATTGTCAGAAGTGCTTTTTGATATGTAGAAATTACTAAAAAGGATATAAGTTTAAATGATAATTACATGTAAGATATATTTCATAATATATGTTTATTTGAAGTAATAAATTTGTTAATAATATATATTTTGGCAATATAATAAATAAGACATAAAAAATATAATTAATAAAAAATTAAAGTGTATATATATTAATAAAATAATTAAATATGTTTTTAGGAAAATGATTTACTTTGCTAAAAAAAATATTATTATTTCTTAAAAATTTTAAAGATGAAATCCCTTTTTTTTTCACAAAATTAAATAACCACACAAAAAAATTTTATATTAATTGTCTTAATAATAGAGGTTGCAACGAAATATATTTGTTCAAGTAGTTTTTTTTAACAACACATTACATTATCTGAAAAGACAAAAGAAAATAAAAGGGACATGATTATTCTTGTATATAGTGAATAATTTGATCTCTTATGGAGTCACGAAGTTGAGCCATGTGAGATGAAAATTCTATTGAGGAAGGTATTAAAACCTTGTCTATGTATTAACTCTCTAATTAGGTTTTACATTAATGACCGGAACAATAATTTTACATTTAAGACCAATATTAGCTCTCCAATTAGGTCCTACATTAAAAACTGAAATAATAAATTTATTAATTTTTTTGCCAACATAATAAACAATGTATAAAAACATATATTAATTACTATATCCAGTTGTAAATGTAAGAGTTAGTTGACTAATTTGAGTAAATTAAAAAAAATAAGTTAAGTTAGTTATTTGTAATAAACAGGTATTGTCTTTCCTACAATATCCCTATCAATCAAGTTTATTGGTTATAACTTAAAAAACGATAGACAAATATGAGAAATAAAATAGATTGAGGTTTTATATTTAGGACCAAATAAAAATCAAATGAGGTCTTATATTAAAAACAAGATGTGGTAATTGTTAATATGTGTATATATAATTATAAAATATAAGATTATGTTTTTAGAAAACTAAATAATTATTTTCAACCAAAAAGAAAATTACCATACGTAGGGGGTGGAGGGAGAACCACTCAAAAAGCAAAATTTTTTTACTTATTACAAAACCTTGGTTTTAATAGACAAACCATGGTTTTATCATAAAATCATGGTTTTGAAAAATTGATAGGTGTTTGGGTAATTTTTTCCCATGGTTTGGACAATCGCCCAAACACCCTCTTAATTCCCGGTGTGATTCGTGATTCATAAAAGTAAACCCAATTAATTTAATCAAGAAACCTTTCACTTTCATTGTATTCTTCTGCATCACTTGAAAAACGAAAGAATATCTGTTCTGAATGTTGAAGAGAGGCTTTTGATTAGTGCACGGAAAACATCGGGATCAAAAAGGTGATGATCACTCTTATTAATTTTAATAGTTTAGATTCTACACCAAAAAATAAATGACGTTTTTTTTCTTACATACTAAAATACTAAAATACATTTTTAGTTCTTTGATTTTGAATAAGATTTCAATTTGGTTCTTAAACTTTAAATATATTTCTAGTTTTTTTAATCCTAAAATTGTTAATAAAAATATCATATTGAGATCTTAAATATTGATAAAATATTATCAAATATTAATATATTAAGTTTAATTTTCAAAACAACTATTATTACTACAAAAAATTATCGTTTAAGATAATTTTAGGATTAAAAAACTAAAAATATATTTTTTAAAATAAAGAGATCAAACTAATAAAGTATGAAATGCCTCTTTTATATCTTATGACATGAAATGACATAGTTTTTTTTTTTAACAAGAGAGGGCTTAAATTTTCACGAGTGAACATTATTTCTTTCTTTATTTTTTTCCCTCGTCTTCGGCGAAGCGTGATCCTTATATTTATGTGAAAAAGAGGGGAAAAAATTGTACAAGAAGAAAATAATCAATCGAAAAACGGAACCTTCTTATGCGGACAATCATAAACTAAAGAGTTCTATTAACTATTCTCGAATCAGTCCTCTTTCCATTGCGCTTTTTTTTCTGTTTTGAAATATACCTTGCTTTAAAGAATACAGTGGATATCTATAAGCTTTAAAAAAAAAAATATGTGAGAGGTCACATATTTATTTTCACCTATAATTTAATAATGTTAATGCGTGACTCTCTAAAGTAGGAAGAAAAAAGAATAAAGTGAAATTAAAGTAAGAGGAAAAGAAGGAAACTTAGTTCAAAAATTTCTGGATGAGACAATATTTTGGGAGACGGACCACAAAGTAAGGAAATGATGCTGGAAAAAAAAAATAGGGAAGCAATTTGGCTGAGGGGTAAATTATAGTTGTCTAAGAATAAAGTGAAATTCAAGTTGAAAGAGACCGAATTCCCTTTTTGGAAACATGGGTCCCTTCTTTTGTACATTTTTTTAGTTATTATGAGATTCTTTCTTCACTATAAATATATTAGTACTAAAGGGGGAGGTTAAATTGGCTCAGAAAAAGAGAGAAATTTTATTAAAAAATAAAATGAGAAATTAGGGACATTAATTTGGCGAAAGTTTGGATTTAAGATGGGCAAATATATATTGTTGAGTTGAAAGTTTGATTTGAATGGTACATACTCTTGCTGTACACTGATACTTATTCACCATATAATATTCTCAATGAATTAATTAAAAGATATTTAAAAATTTTAATTATAGATTATATTGAAAATGAATGTGAGATGAAAATGAAATTTTAAGTAAACTTAATGATAAAACTAAAACATTATTTTTTTTCCATGTATAATACTCATTTAAAGTATATCATTTTCTAATTACTACTGCATCTCTAAAATCACAACGTAACACTAAAGAAATTTTAGCAAAGTAATAATGAATTAAGAGTTCCATAGATATAATTTTAATATAATTTGGATTTTTTCAATGAAGAAGATACTATAAACTTTGATTAGATCTGATAATACTTAAATAAAACCTGTGGATAGTATCGCATATTCACATCTTATACGTATGTAATATTGTAATGATAAAAAGAAGATAATATGCACACACACAAACACATCAATGCTGAGTTTAAACTCAAAATTTCATCCAAACATGGCAGACAGCATTGCCATTGAAATAACTAGCCGTTAATATCATGTGGTTATTATAACAATAGTATAAAAAATTTTAAAATATAATTGTTTTTTTCACCGTAAAAATATAATTGTTATAATCTCCTCAAAACTCAAAATAAATGCCTAATTTTTAGAAGAAAAGACAAATTCTGCTTCCTTTAATTACTCTCTACATACTTTCTTTCCCCATCATAAACTCTGTACCTGCACACAGACACACATATATATTGGCCTTCTTTGCGTTATGAGATGGCTAGGATTGTGTGTTTCAGACCTGATCAGATTGTTTTGGCTTTGTGTGCTGCTCTTCTTTCATCTTCTTCACTGCTTCCTTTTCCTGCAACTTCCACGCCAAGTCAATCAAATATATCAATTTTCTCATTCCCTAAATACTCCTCTGTTCTTCAATCAACCCCGTTTGGTTTATTTTCTTGCTTCTCCTCTGCCTTACACAAATTAAAGTCTTCTGCTATTGTTGTGTTTTGCTGGTGTCTCCGGCTTGGTTCATCAGAAACGAGAAGATCAGTTTGGTGATAGTGATAAGGGTAAATTCTGCCTCCTTGTTAGAAACTTTTTGCATTCACTGGAAATTTGTGGCACTCTGTTCCCCCCCCCCCCCCCAGAACTTTGTTAGGGAGAAATTCAACCACGAATTTTGATTCAA